TATAAGATTGAGTTTTTCTGTTATTTCTATTTATTCTGCAAACTGCAATTTTACCATGTTCAATGATCGTTGGCGCGGTGATAAAATTGTAAATAATAACCTCTTTATGTTGTATAGCTCCCTCTCAAGACTGATATTACTTTAGCTGTAATTTTTTTTTCTTGACTACAATCGACCGATTGGCTATTACTGTTTGGAATTTATATATCAGAACTGCATATTCTGAGATTTTCATGGTCGCAGCAACCATGGAATGACCTTAGGCGCTATTTGAAATATTTGAAATTTACCGGGAGCACCGGTTAATTTTTTTATTATTCCATTTCTCGAAAGCGAAATGTTTTAGAGGCTAAATTTTCTAGTGCTTATAATTCATTCACAGGGGCATCCAAATATATCAAAATTTCAAAGAATTAATGCCCATCCAATTTTCAAAATTTGCCAAAACTTTGCAATTCCCTTTAAAGTTAAAGTGATATGACAATAGGCCACTGCGTGGCTCCCTGACATAGCTTAATGAATAGAAAATGGATCAATTTAAGTCAGAACGCGTCGATTTCTATAACACGGCACCAATTAATAGGGAAGCTTGGCTGTTCGATTCTGTTTTCAATAGCTTGCACAGGCAATATTTGAATAGTTACGTAACAAACAACTTAGCTCTTTCTGACATGGCACAATAAACCAGTTCACGGTTGCAGTTTGAGCATGAGCAGATAAAGATTTTGAAATACACGGAGAGGAAATACTGGATACATGCTCATGAAAGTTATGTAATCATTATTCATTAATGCACAATCAGTGCACTCTATGATACACAGGTGGAAGTATTATTTGTAAAATGGGAAACAAAGGCTATTTATATAGCACCTCCATCGCTGTAGGAGTGATTATTTCAAAATGTACAAAGTGGGACCTCTTTATGTTTTGAAGATCTGTGAATATTCGGGGTCATTGCAGTAATATGCTAACCGTGAACTGGTCTATTAATGAATTAATGAATTGGAGAAAAAACTGACCCTCCCTTCATCGAGCAAATATTTTTTTGCCATTGTGAGTAGGCCTATTACCAAAGAGGTATAAATAGCATTCCTGACATTGCAACAATGACTGCGTGTTTTTTATGTATTGTCCCTAAAGGTACTGAAGAGACTCTTTCTCCATGTCTCGGAGGACAAGCACTTTCAATGTCTCTATAAAACGAGGAAAGTTAAATTGAAAATGCATTTTTTTTTAAAAAAACCTGGCAATAATGGACTCTTGAATGTAGTTTTTAAATGGGACAAGGCTTTGTGTCTAAAGCTACCGGCCTCAGGATACGCTAGGCGCAGGTAGCTGACAGCAGGCGATCGGCGAGGTTTCTCGAATACAAAGTATAGTATAGACGCATTTTCCTTTGATGGGCGGCCAACCCCGGGATGGTCCCTAATCCCTTTCTTCTTCCAGGCCTGTCTTCTTCCTCTGTTTTTAAATCACTTTTCCCTCTTTTTTTTCTTTCATTGCATGTTCACTTCGCTTTCTTTCCCTTTCCCCCTCTCGAGGGGGTAATGCCCACTCACCCCCCCCCCTGCCCCCGATCCGCACCAGCACACCTCATGGATGGGAAACATTGTAACTGTTCTTGCCTTCTTTTCCCAATATCTTTATTCTTCCTCTTCTTTCTTTCACTGTCTCTCCCCTTTCCCATTCCCTTCTTTCACATTCCCTTCTTTCCCATTCCCCTTTCTTCCTTCTCTCTCTCTCTCTCTCTCTCTCTCTCTCTCTCCTTTTTGGTGGTGGGAGGGGGGGAGGGGGCAAGGTCCCTGGATCCGCGCCTGCTCCAAGTTCAAACATTTGCCCTATATAATAAGAAAACGCTAACGCAACCGAAATACTATACCTGCGTATTCATGTGATCCTCAGTCGGGATGTGAAGTTTTCTCATAGTCCATGTAATACACATTTCCTCTATTTATCAGTGAAACGTTCACACGGCCGACACAGCGGTGTATTCTTTGGGGCCTCGATTGGAATGTGAAGTACTCTCTTCAAAATAAGTCCCCTTATCAAACTTTCGGTTCACTTTAAGAATGGAGGCAAAAAATGAAATATGAATAAAAACGAGTAGATATTGTTAGGGCGTTTATTATAATGTCCCCACTTTGTCCCCATCTCGGATTTCCACCAAATGTATGTGTGTGTGTGTGTGTGTGCGTGTGTGTGTGTGTGTGTGTGTGCGTGTGCGCGCGCGTTTGTGTGAGCATTTGTGTGTTCTGTATATATATCCATCCCTTAGATGCAAGGGAAAGTCCGTAATATTGTCTTTGGGGGAGTTTTCACTGGTAGTAGTGTGTTTGGTTGGATGGGGTTATTTGTTTTATGTTACAACTGATTTAATTTTTGTTTTCATCAATCGTACAATCTATGTAGTAATGAAAATGTTTTGAATTCATGCCAAGGAAAAACAACTGTATTTTATTTCTAAGATTGATTTGTATAGTTTGGAATCAATAAAAAACTATTGGAAAAAAAATCCCTTGTATATACGTTACATTCTTTTCATTCACCTTGCCATATTGTTAATGTATGTAATTGTGTTGACTAAAGGGTCCCGCTCACACGCTCTGGAACAAACTCCCCTCTTTAAGAAACAGTACTTCACTAGATTTCTTCAAAAAAACAACTGAAAACTTACCTATACAACTCCTCTTAAATTGTTGAAAGTCTAAGAGAGCAGCGCCTTGTAACCGTTGGAAAAGGCGCTATATAAATCCAATTATTATTATTATTATTATTATTATTATAAAGGGGTTCTAAAACCATTCATTTTATGATGTAATCAAATTAATATATGTTGATTAATAAACTATTACCAGTATCGTTTTTATGTAAAAGATTATATCATGTTTTGTGTGGTTTTGAATGAAATGAACTCTAACTTGAACTTGATATTTTTAGCTAGCACTGGAGAGGCAACATGTTTACCCCAGTCCCCAGCTGATGCAAAGATGGTGTTATTACTTGTTTTCAATAAAATGTTAACTCCCGCTGGTTCAAAGTTTTTTGTTATTACTTGTTTTCAATAAAATGTTAACTCCCGCTGGTTCAAAGTTTTTTGTTATGACTTGTTTTCAATAAGAAGATCGGGCACGCGATCTTTATTTACTTGGGTGCAAGCCAGAAAATGCCTTGGCAACCATTATAACATTCTTGTTATTTCAGAGTGTAGTGTTATATTTCCTAATCAATTGATGCAGTAACATGCTAAGTACATTAATGTGCTTGGAGTGAAGGAAAGAGTAAGCACTAAAAGAGTAAAACCGAGTCTAGATCGACACTGGAGGGGTAGCATGTTATCTCCTGCTGGTTCAAAGATATTTTTAAGACTTGTTTTCAATAACATGTTAGGTCCCGTTGGTTAAAACAAAATGTATGTATGAATAGTCTTCAATTATCTACTTGGTGCGAGCCAGGGGTGGCGGAGAGACTTCCAACGTGTGGGGCGGGTCACCAACAAAAAAGGTCACTCTCTGGAGAAAAAAGGGCACCTACATAGGAAAATCTCAAAGCGAAAATATATATTTTTTTTAGACATTTCAATTACATTATCAGGAATGATTTCAATGTTTGTTGCTCTCTAAACATAATACAACATATTGCAAGCATCATACTTTTCAGTTGGGTGTGTTGGTCTGAAAATTCATTTGCGAGCCAGCGAAGCGTGCGAGAATTTTTTTTAAAGACTTGTGAGGTCACAGTTCGAAAAATTACATCTTTTAAAGAAGAAAAACCCAATCCTGATGGGGTTATAAGCACATTCTCATAACGGAAGACTGAAAAGACCTTTGATAAGATATACACAATAACGAGCGAGCGAGCTTCGGGGGAAAATTGCTCTTACAGTCTCTTTAAATTAGGGGGATGTTTAAAGATGAGAGGAAAAAGGGATAAATTAAAAAGGACCTCTTTCTTTAAAGGGGGCACTCATCTGTAGAAAAACTCAAGGTACAGGATTTCATTATGAATGCGGGGATAAATGCTGTTTAGTGTTCCATCGTGGTTGTTCCAGTCTGCTAGTATCCGCGAAATAAAAATCATAATCCGCTTGGCAAGATCCAATCCGTTAAGCCGCAATGAAAACTTTGCGCAGTCTCTATATGCAGGTCCACATCCACTGATTATTGTCGGTAATCAAACTATGAATTGAACTTTAAAAGCGCGAAAGGTATCGCAGTGAAATGATCTACGGTAGACTTTTCATTGTTTTTAGAAATATTACTATATAGACTAATTAAATAAGAGAGTATTCAATCAGTGAATATTCTTTGGTCAGACAAATGAAAAGGAGGTGAGATAGGGGGCATTTTATGTTTGGGTGATTTCAAGTTTGGTGTTGGCCTTAGTGTTTTCACCACAAAAAAAGCGAACTTGAAACCACACAGTGCAGAGAGCTAGAGCCCACTGACTGCCACGACTAACACGTCACAATCATGACAGAGATCTTCACACAAAATGAATTCTTACTTACTTTTCAAGCTATCATAATGGCCCTCACTTCGATGTTGATGTTCCTCTGAGAATTGTCTAATCCAATGAGATTTACTTGATAAACATCTATTAAAATAGAAATTCACTTAAAAGAAAAATGTTTCAGTTTTTGTGTATGAATAACTTATAGGTCGCATATAATAATATTTAGCTTTTATAATATATATAGCGCTTAATACAGATGTCTCTAAGCGCTTTACAAATATACTATTACCCCGGTCATTTTGTCGATAGCCAATCACCAAACAGCAATTGACGAATTGTTGACGTCATTGCGCATGAATTGCTCAAAAATCGTCAAATTGGAAAAACTCCCATAATGCACCAAATTCAAAACCTATGACATGTCGGAAGACATACTATGTATAATCGAATCTCTTTGGGCATAAGCTGGATTTGCCCCCCCCCCCCCCCCTCCTAGTTCCCGCCGTGTTTATTGAGGGTATATAAGAGGAGCCAGACACACTGCGTTACCATTTCTTGTTTGCCTTATAATCGAATGTCATTTGCCCATTGATTGGTAACCAAAGATGTTGCTCCGCGGTCTTCTATTCTCTCTCTTTTTCCTGGTGGTCTGGGGAGCATCTCCGGGTAAGTGTTCCGTGATGATACCCTTTCTTTGTTAAAGAATCCTTGATGTTTCCACTTGTCAGACTGGTTTTGCCTCATAATAAGGTGATATACAATGTAAAGCTCACTGTTTGTTATGTTAATATAGAGGTTTTACTCGCGTGACATAATTATGATACCTTTAATAATGCGGAATGTGGTATTAATACAAACAAAAAATCAAATTGGTAATGGCCAAGATGGTCACATCCACAGCCAATTTTATATATATATGAATGTGTTGTGTTCACTTTGTTCGTTTCCCCTGATAACCAACGAAGCGAACTAGAAAGACATTTCCCCCTCATTTTCGCTCATAACTTGATAACCCCACGGGTGATTGTAACGGGTCGAACAGTTTAAAAAAGTATATTGAAAGGTCAAGCCAACGATGGTAGTTGTTAGCTTTTGTTATTTAAAAAAAACACGTACTTTTGCATTTGAAATATAACTTGTGTCGGTTTTCCTGTGGTAGCGCGCATTTTTTCACCTCATCAGAATTACTTATTTGAGTGTCGATTCTTCTTGGAGTGTCGGATTCCACCGGGTCGAAAAAAAATCGAATAACTGAGATTTTTACCTTCATTGTGATATAACAAGTGTTTTGATTGGTTGAGCAACAGCACTGTACTTTTGAAGATGAAAAAGTGGCCAATGATGATCTTCGGAATCGGATCGATATTCTGTTCTTCGGCCCGAGCTCCCATTCAAAAGTCTTTGAAGAACTGACCAGATCTTATATAATATACAGTGCGTCCCAGAAAAAACGAAACCGAGAATTATCGATGTTTTATCATAACTTAATCATAATTATACATATATGTAAGGCTTAGATCCTCCTCTTTCATTTGATGCAACTCATATGATGCATATTTCACGCATGAGTGATTAAAATGAATTTGAAGGGAGGAAACCAAAAATTTATTTGGCGGACGGTATCTGAATTTCGAAGAAAATTTCACATTTCTAGAAAGTTCAGTTTTTGTTCTTTTATAATGACACCTCAATCAGGAAAAATGAGTGAGAAATGACAAAGTTCTGTTTGTTTAGAGTAGTGCTTGCATTTCCATAATTTTATCAAACGAATTCGTTTTCACTGGCTGCCTGCCGTAGCAAAAAGCAGAATTAACAAAAGACTTAACTCCGTTTCGTTGACAATCAGCAATGCATGTAGTCTTTCGTCTACGTCTGTTTGACCATATTGTCATCTTTTTGCGGGGAAATTTGATCTTGAAGTAGTGTAAATTTGGAACCTAAAAAACATGAAATTTAGGATGCAAGGGCCATTTACCACATCTATGAGGCTGTTCACACCGGCAGAGATAGCGCGCGCTAGACCGCGCTATAACTGCGGTTTGGAAGGTACAACGTCGTTTCGGTCCGCCCAACAGCGAGCCACGGCTAGCCAAAATGGCGTGCCACTGGAGCACCTCTTGGGGGTGGTCCACGAGAGATAGCGGGGTCTAGCGCGCGCTAGAAAAAAGGGGGTGCTACGATAGACCGCGCTATCTCTTTGCGGTGTGAACAGCCTCTATGACGCTACGTGACTATCGGGCCATACAGTTTTTGTCAAAGGGAGCGTATACGCGTGGATTCCTGTGTTTATTACGGTGGGTATGGGCTATATAACTTATAAATGGTAAGTTCTTGAAAAGTTTTATCCTAATTGGGTTTTTTTTTTAAATATTTTAAATTTAACTTTTCAGAAACCAACTTCTCATTGACACAAATGTTTCTGTTTTTCCATGAATAATTAATTATATCAGTATGTTAGTTACGAATGAACATCCCTCTGTGGTTACATAACGCGTTTATTTAAGTTTTACCCTTTTCTGTGAATGAAACATGCAGCCCAGTCCCTTTTATGGTTCGGGTTAAACCGATTTATCTCAGTGAACGCACAAGAATTAACACGTAATCTTAAGTCAACAAAACAGGAGTCAACAAATTCATATGCCCAAACGAGCATATTTTGATTGCTGAGGGTACTGCTTGTTCTATATTTTGTATGGAATAGTTACATGATTTTACTTCAAATGACTCAATTTTTTTATCATAATCAAACAGGCAGCAAAAATCATTAGATGATTACCATTTCTTTCACGTTGTTCAAAAACTATTATAGCATTTCCTAAAGAATTCCAATATTTTATTTGCATTAGTTACCAGGTTTACTGCCCAGCGGTCACGTCCATCCCCTACCTTATGGCAAACAGACAAATTATGATACGTGAGGGTCCAAGCAAACAGAAAATCATCATTTTTAAAATTATGCAAACAGTTATTAAACAATTTTTTTTCAAATTATTTTAGTTTTATTTCTCTGTGTGGCACGACAACACATATTGTATGTTTAATAGCGGGAAAAAAAAGGTGTGTCAAAAAAAACATTGAAATAAAAGTGGTTTACATAACCCCCATATTCTGAGTAAATCACACTTTTATGTTTCATTACGCCATACATATAATATCCAATCTCAAATGTATATAAATCAGGTTTATTACTTCAAAATCATAACAAAAATTAATGTAAAGGTTTTAATGAGACAATACATATTTGGGTCAAAAAATTAAAACTCATTATTGATTACTTTCTTTCAAACTTCGAACCAAAAATTAATTTTTTAGTTAAAAAGAAAAATGTGCGTGACATGAACTCCTACTTTTGTCCTTTGTATTTTGTCAAGAGTTTTAGCATGGATGCCATGCATCACCCCCAAAAATGAAGATTCGAAGTAAGCCTACGAAATAGTAATTCGGACGGAATGAGAATTGGATAAAATTGTGCTGACATTGTGACCAAATTGCAATCTCACTTGTTATCATCATGATATTCAATTACCACTTCGTCACTCAAAGGGTATTTTCACACTAATGTTCGCGTAAAAAGATAAGTCTTTTGTCAATGACCACCAAAAAATCCGATTATTTTTCAGTCGGTTTACGCGAACACCCGACCCAAAGCAATATCCGTTTATCCCGATGATTCGAAATGAGCCTTCTCCCAATTTGTGAGATCGTCTTTTGCAATGTAAATCTATCTTTCTTTTCTTTCTTATTTTATTTTTTACTTTCATAAAAATAATGCTCTTGAAATTGAATTATAATTGTATATGCCCTAACATCTGAGAGCATTAGGGAGAGCTTCTTGCTGACCGCGAAATACAAACGCACACATACGCACGCGCACACACGCACACACGCACACACGCACACACGCACACACGCACACGCACAAACAAAAGCTGGCAAAGGAAAACAAAGGAGGGAACAAGAAAAAAGATATCAACAGGCCACCAGTATGTGTGCATATATTTGTGTGAATGTGTGTGGGATGAGGGACTTCCACATGGGGGTAATTGTCCTCGGGGGGTTGGTTGTCCTTGGGGGTAATTGTCTTATTGGTATTTTTCGGGGGGGGGGTAATTGTCCAGGAGGTAAATGCCTATTTATATCCAGCATGATCAGATTTTTAGTTTATAATATGGAACATTTCTATGCCTTGAATTCGGTGGGCAGCGCAAAATATTCAAGCTAATAGTGAAGCAAGCGAGCAAAACTGAAGAATTGCTTCATAATTTCTGTTTCAACAAGCCTTACAGGGAAAGTAGTGCATTGTACCTGAGAAGCCCCGATTATTGTTCACCCATTGCAAGGTTTACTCTGCTAAAAGTGGATTCCGCCCTTTAAGGCGTTGATTGCAACTATAGTGCGATGCCTAGCGGATTTACACACTTCTGCCCTTTAAAGGTCGGGGGACATCCAAATATAAGTTGATTTCTATTTGATTTCTATATGTGCAGGGCTGCTTACAACTCATATTTTGTTATTCAAACATCTAAATATATTTCATAGATTTTTCAATATTTTGTAAAGTAATATGCTCAGACCTGCTATTGCTTAGCCAAACCTAAACAAAACTACAGATCTCATTCATGTTGTAACATCATCTGTCAATCATTAGTGAACTAACAAGAGACAGTGGTATGTAACATTTCCTCAGCTCAGCACATGCTCACAAAAGAATTGCATTCTTTCATACAATACCTCCACATTACCTTTCTTTTCCTGGTTATGTTATATACAGCACGTCTGACATAGCAACTCCTATGTTGGTATTGTATGGTCTATTGTAAACAGGTGGTCAGCTCTGGTGAAGCTACATACCACTGTCTCTTGTTAGCTCACTAACGATGGATAGATGATGTCACAAGATGAATGAGATCTGGAGCTTTTTTTAGGATGGGGCTTAATTTAGTTGGTCTGAGAAAATTACTTAAAAAAATATCTAAAAATCCGCTATAGGCATCGCACTATAGTTGCAATCAACGCTTTAAAGAGCGGAATCCACTCTCGGCAGAGTTAACCAACCACTCATTTACAGTGGCTTCCACTATGATTCGGACTGGATTTAACTAGAAAGGAAGCGATGTCTAATAATGACGTGTGAAGAGGATTTCCACTTCTCAGAGTTCAAAGAAACACAAGGAAGTCACACAAGTGTCCTAGATCTTTGTAATTATAGCTTTGCAATATTTATGTACTTATGTTTTAGTTATTTCATACCAATTAGTCTTTCCAGCAAATTTTGTCTTAATTCTGAATTGCATTCATATAATACTCGAAGTTCATCTAATTTTCATTTAAATAAAATAAGACTAAATATAACTAAGAAATCAATTTTTTTTAAAGGACCACAATTGTGGAATAATATACCTCAAGATATAAAATCTAGTCCATCAATTAACATTTTTAAAAGGAGATATAAATCATTTTTAATCCAACAAAATAAATAAAGATTGATTATGTACACGGTCTGGTTTTTGGTTTTGGTTGTTTTTTTTCCACCCCCCCCCCTCTCTCTAGTAGGCTTCTTTTTTTTAATCACCATCTCAAACAACAATTATACTTTATTACTGTTTTGGTGGCAGCACCAATAAAGCCTTTGGCTTTCCTAGCTGTCTCCACATTCATATATTTTTTTGTTGTTGTATTGTATTGTAAATGTTTCTCTTTAACTTGTATGCTATGTTTTGTATCTAACATATTTGTTATGATGTTTTTATGATGAATGAAATAAAGTTCAATTCAATTCAATTCAAGTCAGCCTCCAGGCAAAGCCAAATAAAGCGAATCGTAAAATAATTTTGAAAGATATATGCACCTAACTAATATTATTCTGATATAAATTCTAGAGCATTTTCGTACTTGTGAGTTGTGCCCCTCCCCCATTCTCCGTCATACAATCCTAGATCGGCCACCGAATGTAATATATACGAATCTTATCCTTTCCATGTTTCCATGTTTTGTGTAATTCCTTCTTGCAGTACCATATGACTGTCTCAATTGTATCTGCGAGGTAGAGTCTAATTGTGCCATGCCTAACCCACCCTGTAGGATGGACGTGGGATCACTATCGTGTGGCCCATTTCAAATCAAGCAGGCATACTGGACGGATGCTAAGCGGCACGGCGGGTACCTCATGGGATGTGAGTAGATTCTTCTTCTTTTTCTTCTTTTTCTTCTTCTTCTTCTTCTTCTTCTTCTTCTTCTTCTTCTTCTTCTTCTTCTTCTCTGACTTCTTTGACTTCTTTGACTTCTTTGACTTCTTCGACTTTGACTTCTTCGACTTCTTCCTCTTCTTCTTCGACTTCTTCTTCTTCGACTTCTTTGACTTCTTTGACTTCTTCGACTTCTTCCTCTTCTTCTTCGACTTCTTCTTCTTCGACTTCTTTGACTTCTTTGACTTCTTCGACTTCTTCCTCTTCTTCTTCGACTTCTTCTTCTTCTTCTTCTTTGACTTCTTTGACTTTTTCGACTTCTTCGACTTTGACTTCTTCTTCTTCTTCTTCTTCGACTTCTTCCTCTTCTTCTTCGACTTCTTCTTCTTCTTTGACTTATTCGACTTCTTCTTCTTCTTCTTCTTCGACTTCTTCTTCTTCTTCTTCTTTGACTTCTTTGACTTCTTCGACTTCTTCGACTTCTTCGACTTCTTCGACTTCATCGACTTCTTCGACTTCATCGACTTCGACTTCTTTTCTTGTTTTCTGTCATTGTTTTTATTACTGAGGGGTGGGATGCATTACAAGTCTCTTATACATGTATTCTAATATTTTATTTTGTTCATATCTTTCCATTTATACCCAGCATGGAGTGCATGTACTGCTAACTGGGGTTGCAGTCGGAATGCTGTCCAGGCCTACATGACTCGCTATGCCACGGTCGGGCGTTTAGGGCACACGCCAAGATGTGAAGACTTCGCGCGTATTCACAACGGCGGCCCAAACGGCTTCCAGAAAAGCGGCACGGTTGCTTATTGGAACAAAGTAAGGGCATGTCTGTAACACAATGATGTTGTTGAGCCTTGCCCGAATTAAGAAAAAAATTCTGGAGATAACGTATAGAAATATGGACAAAATATAAAGTTTATAGAGATGAAATGCGCTTCAGCCATCTTTTCAATTAAGGGGGGGGGGGGTGTAAACTGTGAAGTGCCACAGGAGTGGTCTGTAATTAACTACTTAAGTGTAGAGCTTTGAAGTAAACTTTGGCCAACAGAATTGTTTGGGTTAAGGGGGTAGGAAGCAAATGTTTCAAGAAGAAGAAGAAATAGGCCTACTAAAGAATTTGGATCGAAGCAGGACGCTCTCTATTAGTAGCTTGATGATGTATCCATCAGCAAATACAGAGCGCCATCTAAGTCGACTATATAGATATTGCGAACTTTCATACAGAGCATTGTTTAATTGATTAACCCTCTTGTGATGGTCGATTTCATTTAAACTAATATGTTTCCTTCTATAAAGGAGTCCAGACTTAAGTATTTCCTAGAATCCAATTAAAAATTTGTCAAACGAAAGAAATATTAACAGATTTTGTCAGTGATCAAAGCTAACTTCTCTTCGTTCTGCTTATAAGTTGATTGTTTTCTTGATTGGGTATTTCATGAATTACAGACTCTATTTCCATCGCGATTTAACGATGTTATAATGCTTATTGAGAACAAACATTAGCACAATACAAATATCTTATAATATATGAAATAAATAAGCACATTATTTCCAGTGAACAAAACTTATTATTTGTGTCCTTTATTAAAATTTGCTTTTTAATCTTCATGGAAAAGGTATGTTTGGATAAGCTGTGTCTTTGTCACTTTTCCTCTTGTTTGCATTTTCCATCAAAAGTTGCATTTATTGTGAAAAGGGGTTAATTTTGACAATCTGGGAAACAAGATTGGATAAAGAGGTAAATCTTCATCTATTATTATTCGCAAATTATTCCATTCTAAATTTACCTTTCCATGCTCAACTTGTTTAAAAACTGGATTTATTGGTCATCCAAAAACGAACTGAATGGGTCGAACTTAATCCTAGTTGTAACCCTAGTCCTAACCCTATAGTCCTAACCCATAACCTAACCCTAGTCCTAACCATAACCCTAGTTCTAACCCGTTCCCCGACCCTGACCCCAACCCTAATTCAAAATCATGGACGGTGGATTGTTCTGCAGTTAAGCCCCAATGGGTGGTTTATCTGATGTCCTTAATAAAATGCCACCAACCACCGCCCCCTTTTTCCAACTGAAGCATAATAGTGGGTATGTAGTTCAATTGTTTGGGTTTATGGTATATAGGTTAAGTTTAAAGTTTGAGCAGGATTTTGATCGTGATTGCTCCCTTGGGTTTAGGGCTAAGGAATATAGTTTGGTTTTTACCGTCTGGTTTAGGGTTGATGATATCTTACCGTACCCTGATTCGATTCTAGACAGACAACACTCTACTCTGCCCCGTGTGATAGGGACAGGAGTGTTCCATCTGAGCAGGGAGTTAGTATAGTATGTTATCATATCATTATAATCATCACCACCACGATCATGACCATCAGCATCATCATCATCATCATCATCATGTGGATGTGGCTCGTAGCTCATATGACCTTATAAACTGTGAAATAAAGTTAAAAGAAACCGAACTGTTATCAAGAATATGGAACTCCCGTAATTTGACGGTGTTTAGTAGAATTGCCGTAACTGAGTCTGAGGCTGTTCCCAAAATTGTGTATTTATTTAGTTTCATAAAAGATCCGCCAGATACTTTTTTGATCGACTCCAAAAACTGTTATTCAATTTCATATGGTCTGGCAAAAGAGACAACACGAAAAGAACTATTACGTATACTACGTACGAAAAAGGTGGATTGAAAATGATAAACGCCAAATTATTTTGTAAGTCACTCAAAATTGCATGGGTGAAAAGAGTCATGGATGTAAATAATGAAGGAAATGTAAATCACTATTTGATGTCTTCTTAAAGAGGTTTGGTAAAAAGAGGATTTTCTATGATAACTTCCGAACGAAAGATAACAAAGGTCCATTATTAAATTTCTCCCGAAACCGGATCACATGAGGATCATTATATTGCGTGCGGTGGGCTTTAAAGAAAGGGGACCGAGCGCCCACGTGATCGACGAAATGAAAAACACGTGCATACAGACGAGTCCTTTTTAAGATGGTTCACTAGACTGATGTTCAGTCACTTTAGCTCTCAGACCTGTCGGTTTGGTAAACCCTCAAAAAAGTTGAGAGGCTTACAGAATCATCGGTCTAGTTGTCTGTCGGTCTCACGGGCTGTCGATTAACTCATACTCAACAGACGACAACGGACACACGTTTTTATAGGGTTTTGATTTATTGTGCAGTAAATTAGATTTAAAAACTTGCCTACAATTAAGATGCCCAAAATAGGTAAATCTATAGAACATTTAGAATTGAAAATGTACATCAGTTACGTTTGATAAATTACTTCGTAATTTATATACAAACAGGGGGCAGTTAAAGAGACTACTACTCCCTATAATTTGACAAATATCCCCCCCCCCCCAAAAAAAAAAAAGAGAGAGAGAGAGAGAGAGAGAGAGAGACCGGTGTAACATCCCCCCTAAATTACTCTTTTGCGATCCCTTTATAATTATACGCCTACTGATGATTAATATGGAAGTAATGACTCTGCATCCCGCCCCCCCCCCCCCCACTCAGTGTTATTTAGGGTACGCATATGCTCGTTCCCTCTTTTTTAAAGCACCCCCTATCTGAGGACTGCCAACATTTCCGAACCCCCCTTTCGCGGGCTTTTCGCGGGCTTTTCCAGCCTTGGAGACCCCCCTAAATCAGGAAAAATGCTCAATGTACCCCCCTAAATTCGGAATAACTTCTCAGGAGTCCAAAGAGATGAGAGAAAACAGGAAAAACGCCCCCTTTTTATAGAAATCTCCGGGTGAAAAGTCAAATACACCCCTTTTTTTTTTTACAATTCTCGGGCCGGACTTTGTCGTACGAAAAATACCCCTTTACCGGACATTTTGGCAACACGCATGCGGTCATTCCGATCCCTGAGTGAGGGGGGGGGGGGGGCGGGCTCTGCATGTTTTCCCTCAATTCTCACATTTAAACGGTGTTTAACAAGAGATCGTTTTGGCTACGACTGTTGGGGTTCAAATCTGTCGATCAAGAGTTGGTGACAAAACCAACATACCCCAATATAAGTGGATAAGTCCAGTAGGGTTGAATCCAGGGGGAAGGGTAGACGGGGGTCTGGTCCCCTTTTCTTTTGTTTTTCGTAGGGGTTTGGGGTGGTTTTTTACCCCAACTATTCGTTTGATGCCTAAGGAATTGTATGGTAGACCATTAGACTTGAAATATCCTTAATAATGTTAATACCCCCCCCCCCCTAGCACATTCGGCCCCCAGCTTGCTTAGAATTTGTATCGAAGTTTATACTCACTGAACGTTGAAGCGCCCAACAACCTCCCCCACCACTACCAAAACATTATGGAACGGTTCTGCAGGGTTTCGATTTGTTTTCTTCCCCCATCTCCGTTTCACCTGATACTATTTCAGTCTGGTGATTCGGTTAATTATTACAAACAAGCTGACAAATTCGATATACAAATTGAAAACATTTTACAAGACAATGTACACACAAGAAATATATACTACGGATATCATATTGGTAATAATGACTCAAATTCAATCATTAAACAAGAATAGACAAAAGATCTTATAAGAATATTACAGGTCCATCAATAATAGATTGACATGGTTATAACTTTAAAAAAAATTGTCATTAACTTTTTTTAAAATAAGTGCTAAGTTATAAGATAAATTATGATGGTAATTAGTGCCACAATAATTAAGTCTACCGTGTCATGTAATAATAATAATTAAATGCAGCATTTGTTTTGACCCATCGATCTAGTAAACTATTCTGAGGCGCAGAGGGATGGAATATCAATTCAATATTCAATGTAAAATCAAACTTAATGGTAATACAAAGTTTTGAGAAATTTTAAAAATTAGATGGAGGGTGATTCTTTACAATTGTTGATATATTTGGATTCCCCTGTGGATGTATCAAAGCACTATAGAAAATTTAGCCCCTAAAACACTTCTGCTTTCGAGAAAAATTGAATATAAAAATTTACCAATGCTCCCGGTAAATTTTAATAAATTTCAAATAGCGCCTACGGCCGTACGATGGTAAATTCTCAGAATATGACAATCTCAGAATATGTAGTTGTGATATATAATTTCCAAACGGGAATAGCTAATCGGTCGATTTTATTCAAGACACACTGTTTTATAGCTTAATTGATATCTTGACCTTGAGAGGGAGCTATACAACATAAAGAGTTCATTATTTACAATTTCATAACTTTAGACTTGATTTCAACCACGACAACAATCACTATATTGTAGGATCGCATAATCATGCTTCCAAGTTCATTTGAACCACATTCCTGAAGAACTACCAAAACCTTGTATTACTTTTAATAAAGATCAAGGATTTTTTTCAAGACTTATAATCACCTTAACATATCATTAAGCAATAAGTAGGTCTATTGATTGTTTATGCTGTGTAAACAATCAAAATATTATAGTGGATCAGTGCATAATTAGTCTGAATATTGCAGCTCAATTTGAGTTTTGGAAATGGAATTCCTTTAATGTTGAAACTAATTCTAAACCTGTGAATATTCCATGCAGGAGGTAAGTTGTTTGACCTGCAATATATAAAAAACAGATGAAATCAACACTCAACAGAAGGCGTTCCATACTTGTGCATAAATATGACTCTGAATGTAAGGTAAATGTATAACATTAACAATAATTACATAAAATGCTTCAACGCAGGACTTAATCTATCAAGATTATACTCAAAACTTCAATGAAAAATAAATCGTTTCTTAACCCTAATAAGGCCGGGGGGGCCATTATGCCCCCCCCCCCCTCCACGATTTTTCCGATTGCTCGGGAACGCATATGGGTGGCGCCCCGCCGCTCGCTGATTATTTCTTTCGAGTCTTTCGCAACTTTTTAAATAATTTTGTTGAAAATCGGACCTACGGTTACAAGGTCACGTGACCTTTCGTCTTTGCATGTCAGCCCGAAAATCGCTCATTTTCGTGATTTGTGTACAAAACATATGGAAAAGTCATTTTTCCTAAAAACAGATCAAACATCGGTTATTGGGTCTTGTTTAAAGTTAGGTGGTTGTTTTGGGAGTCAAAATAGTTGAATTGTAGTAAGAAATGAAATAAAACAACAAAAACATTAAAATACATAAGTTAAAAAAACAATGAAATACATAAGAAATTATCAAAACAAGGGATAACATAAGGAATAAGCTGGCTCTTCCAATTTGTTTTGTCGCATTATTATTCAGAATGGTCTAATGAATATATGTAGTGAAAAAGAATGCTTAAATATGAATAATATATGATTTATGGGTAAAAATGTGATTTTTATGACTTTATTTGCATAAATTACCATAAATATGCAAATGAGTGAATTTTTCAAAAAATTGAAATTATCATATTATTCTATACACTTCACTTGACATGCGTGCAAATTTTCGCGGCGATCGGCCGCTTCGCGGCCGAGATCTTAAGGAGGGCCATAATGCCCCCCCCCGGCCGTAGTAAGACCTCAAATAGCCCGGCCTTTTTAGGGTTAAGAAACCTATCACAGATATAAACAAAGTTTCTTCAGATATTCAGACACTGATTATATT